TCTCTTTGTCTCTGCTATTTGTGGCCTGGGTGTTCTGGGTAGAAATTTAGAGAAGGTGAGGATGGTGACTGGTTAGGAATGACCTCTGAAATCCCCCCTATATATAGCAGTACGAGAGTCAAGAGTCAGTAGAGATTTTGATTTGAGGATACAATGAAGATAATCGAAAGAAAAGAATCCAGAATTAACTTATCTGTTACCGACGAACAATCAGGGATTTTAACTCCAAACGACTCATTTTTGGGCTGTGCTCGACGAAATAGACATCTGATGGTTGCTCTTCCAGCCACGAGATTGGTCAAATGGAGGAATCAAACATAGATCTTAGTGAAACTAGGAGAGATTCGAAGATTTGGTGAGGAGAAAAGGCAAAAAATCGTGATTATCTTGCGATCTGATCGCTAATCGCGAGAGAGGAGGTAGAGAGACAGAAGGAAACTAGGGTTTGGGAATTTTGGTCTGCGAAATGAAGAATGAGTAATGAGGGGGTGGCTGCTACGGTTTCTCAACGCAAAACACAAATATATATACGGGAGCGAAACGATATCGTTCTGTTGCACGGGTAATCCGCTGGGCGAGTTTCGGGGCGGATAGTCGACGATCCAGCCTCACCTTCAATCCAAGATTGACGGATCCCGGGTTCCCCCCACCCGTTGACGGGCCTTTGCTACCAGCCAGCTTGGGCCCTTCTCGGTCGGGCTTCGGGCGGGTATCCGCTAACGGCCCGGCCTGCCATCCCTAACCCACAGTATCTTATCGTGACCGCCATCCCATTCGTCCACGTGGACACTAGGGTTTTGGGGTATATAATTCCTAATCAGCAATCCCCTTTACACTCGGCCGCCTCCTCGAACTGTGCAAGTGAAGAAGAAGACCTCCGACCATCGTTCCTTCCTCCTCCACCGTCCTCCGTACGGGCAAAGGACCACCGACCACCGGCCTTCGTAAAGGATAAACTAACTGGGAGCTACGGAAGGATTGGGACTGTCTGCTTCTCTCGTCATGCCCTTAACCCGTCGGTCATAAATCGCAGGTGGGGTTTTCTTTTTTCCATCAGTTACTTTTTGACTTCACTGAATTTCAACTCGTCTTGGTTCCCTTCTTGCTTGTTTTCATTTTCCATCTGGGTTTGTTCATCGATGGATCCCTCTTCGTGGCTTTGATTTGGTCTTGATGTGCGCTCTGTGCGTGATGGGGATTCCCTTCCCGCAGTCTGCCTTCAATTCTTGGACTCGCTGGTGCTCGAGTTGACTCACTTGGCTGATCCCTTTCTGCAGTATTCGTAAATTCTGCGATATGGCGGCGGAGAGTGGGAAAAGCTTGAAAAGGAGGGACCACCTCTTGGAGATCGAGGCAAAGGCTAGAAGCTGGTGGAACGAGGCAGACGTCTTCAGAGCGGAGCCATGTGAAAAGCCTCCTCAGCCCGGGGAGAAGTTCTTTGGCAATTTTCCGTTCCCCTATATGAATGGCTATTTGCACCTTGGCCATGCTTTCTCTCTCTCGAAACTGGAGTTTGCTGTTGCTTATCATAGACTGAGGGGTGCCAATGTGCTTCTTCCGTTTGCTTTCCACTGCACCGGCATGCCCATAAAGGCGTCTGCTGACAAGCTTCGCCGTGAAATTCAACAATTCGGCAACCCTCCTGTGTTCCCTGGTCCTGGTGATGCTGAGCCAGAAGAACCAAAAAAACCAGAGCAAGTGGATGAGAATGTATCTGGCCAACCTGATAAATTCAAGGGGAAAAAGTCCAAGGTAGCATCAAAAGCCGGCGGGCAAGTGTTTCAGTGGGAGATCATGCGTAGTTTCGGGCTGACGGATGAAGAGATTGCAAAGTTTCAGGATCCATACGAGTGGCTAAGGTTCTTTCCGCCGTTGGCTATGGAGGATCTCAAGGCTTTTGGCTTGGGTTGTGATTGGAGGCGATCTTTTGTTACCACAGATATAAATCCCTACTTCGACAGCTTTGTGCAGTGGCAAATGAGGAAGCTATATGCGATGGGTAAGATTGTGAAGGACGTTAGATACACGATTTACTCTCCTTTAGATGGCCAGCCTTGTGCTGATCACGACAGGGCATCTGGTGAAGGAGTTCTGCCCCAGGAGTATACCCTCATAAAAATGGAAGTTTTAAGGCCGTTTCCTCCAAAGTTTGGACCTCTGGAGGGGAAAAATGTTTTCCTAGCTGCTGCTACTCTGAGGCCCGAGACTATGTATGGGCAAACGAATGCCTGGGTGTTGCCGGATGGTGAATATGGAGCTTATGAGATTAATGAAACTGATGTGTTTGTCATCACGGGTCGTGCTGCCCTTAACCTAGCATATCAGAACTTCTCAAGGATCCCTCAGAAGCCTACTTGCTTGATGGAGCTGACTGGTCATGACCTGATTGGTCTTCCTTTGAGATCTCCTCTTTCGTGTAATGAAGTTATCTACGCTCTTCCTATGTTGACCATCCTAACAGACAAAGGTACTGGAATTGTCACCAGTGTGCCTAGTGATGCCCCTGATGATTATATGGCTTTGCATGATCTCAAAGCAAAACCAGCTTTCAGGGCCAAATATGGGGTGAAGGATGAGTGGGTTATGCCCTTTGAAATACTGCCGATAATCAACATTCCGGAGTTTGGGGATAAGGCTGCTGAAAAGGTCTGCATCGATCTGAAAATTAAGAGCCAGAACGAGAAGGAGAAACTCGCTGAAGCTAAACGGCTCACGTACCTCAGAGGGTTTACTGAGGGAACTATGCTTGTGGGAGAATATGCAGGGATGAAAGTTCAAGAAGCAAAACCATTGCTTCGAACCCAACTGATCGAGACAGGCCAAGGAATTATGTATAGTGAGCCTGAAAAGCGAGTCACTTCAAGATCAGGTGATGAATGCGTAGTGGCACTTACTGATCAATGGTACATAACTTATGGAGAAGCAGAATGGAAGAAACTAGCCGAGGAATGCCTGAGCAGTATGAACCTCTATTCTGATGAGACACGGCATGGCTTTGAACACACTTTGAGCTGGCTGAATCAGTGGGCGTGCTCCAGATCATTTGGTCTTGGGACTCGCATTCCATGGGACAAGGAATTCCTTGTCGAATCCTTGTCTGACTCCACCATTTACATGGCCTACTATACTGTTTCACACTTCCTGCACAACGATGACATGTATGGTACGAACAAACATCCAATTCAACCTTCGCAGATGACTGACGAAGTTTGGGAGTTCATCCTCTGTGGTGGTCCATACCCTAATTCCTCTGATATACCAGCAGCTGTACTCGATAAGATGAAGATGGAATTTGACTACTGGTATCCATTTGACTTGCGAGTCTCGGGCAAGGACCTTATCCAGAATCATTTGACCTTCTCCATATACAACCATGTAGCAATCATGGATAAAAAGCACTGGCCACGTGGATTCAGGTGCAATGGCCATATCATGCTCAACTCCGAGAAGATGTCCAAGTCGACTGGCAATTTCAGAACGTTGAAACAGGCAATTGAGGAATTCTCAGCTGACGCTACGAGATTTTCACTGGCTGATGCTGGAGATGGTGTCGACGATGCTAATTTCGTCTTTGAAACCGCCAACTCGGCAATCCTTCGTCTCACCAAGGAGATCGCGTGGATGGAAGAAGTTCTGGCTGCTGCAGAATCATCCTCTCTTAGGGAGGGCGCTCCATCAACTTATGCTGATCGCGTGTTTGAGAATGAGATAAACATTGCAGTCAAGATGACCGAAGAGAGTTACAGCAATTGCATGTTCAGAGAGGCATTGAAGACTGGATTCTACGATTTACAAACTGCTAGAGATGAGTACAGATTCTCGTGTGGCAGTGGAGGTATGAACCGTGACCTGGTTTTCCGGTTTATGGATGTGCAGACTCGCCTCATCACTCCAATTTGTCCACACTACGCTGAATACGTATGGAGGGACCTTCTAAAGAAGGACGGGTTGGCAGTGAAAGCTGGTTGGCCCACTGCAGGTTCTCCTGATCTGAAGTTGAAGGCAGCCAACAAGTACCTGCAGGAGTCCATTGTTCTAATGAGGAAGTTGCTCCAGAAGCAACTTTCTGGGCCAAAGAAAGGAAACAAGAAAGACACCGCACCAATTACTGCTACCTCCACAGATAACAAATTGACAGGTTTGATATATGTCAACGAAATGTTTGATGAGCAGAAATCAGAATGCTTGAAGATACTCCAAAGCAAGTTTGATGGCAATACTCGGAAGTTTGCACCCGACAGCGAGATATTGCAGGCATTGCAGGCGAGCCCACTTTTCCAGGGTTCGAACGTCAAACAGTTCCAGAAGCAGTACATGCCGTTTGTGAGGTTCAAGAAGGACGAAGCAGTTGCAATTGGTGTTCAGGCGTTGGATCTGAGGCTACCTTTTGGAGAGATTGAAGTTCTAAGGGAGAACCTGGAGCTGATCAAGCGACAGCTGGGTCTTGAAGTTGTTGAAATTTTATCAGCCTCAGATCCTAACGACAAGGCTCGAGCTGGCTCCCTTGCCTCTGTCTTGGAGCAGAATGCTCCCTCCCCTGGAAGCCCCACGGCCATCTTCTTGACCAGGTTAGAAGAAGAATTTCAAATTGAATAGCGGCAGCTACCTTTGGCTTTTGTTTTTCTCATTGCACTTAAGGAACTTGAAGTGGCTTCTTACTGTTGAATCTTTTGTCTTTCCATATCTAGGTAGCTAGCAAAGTTCCAGAGGTGGAACAAAGTGATTGCTTGGGCAATGCTGGATACAAATACGAGTGAATGCTGCGAAGAGGTGACAGTAGTTTGAGTTTGATCTGTTAATGAATTTTTGAATCATGCCTTCTTTTTGCTGCTGTTTTGGTCTGAACCTGAACTGTACTCCACTGTTATCTCATATTAGACCATTTTGAAGTTTTCCCTACTGTTATGCAATGAAATTTCGCGCGGAAGAAGTTAGTGTTCTGCACTGCTAGTTTGTTTGTTTGGTAATGAATTGTTTCCTTCTGGGGTTGAAATGGGACGATCTTGTGTTAATAGTTATTTCTCTAAGTAGTTGGAGTGTCTTTCCTGTTTGGTTAACAGAATCGAAACCATGTAAAAACCGAAAACTGAAGTAGTATATTTTTTTTTAGGGATTCGAACTTGATACCTTCGGGCTCATGACCCGTGGTAGTACGACTAGAGACCATGCCCTAAACCAAAATCTATATACATCCCCAATTAAAACGGCACCACTTCCACATGGCACCACAACTATTGTTATCGTTTTTGGTTTCTTATTGGTTTTCGGTTTAACCAAAATCAGAATTGTAAGATAGCAACTGGTTTGGCACCGAAAACTCTAGACATTTTCATATGCATGCATGTGTATACAAATCACACACCCTTTTACGTCTACGTCTTCCTGGTCTTCTCTTTAACCATAACCAAGGCAAAGAAGTACCATTATATATATTCATTCCATCATCAACCCCTGTAAATCCAGATGCAAAAGTTAAGCAACACACCAAGTGACGATCGAACACACTCTATCTAATTCATTCATCACTGAACCATAAACGAATTACCTGCACCTGACGCGCGGAGATCTCCAGTCAAAAGAAACCCCACTCCTCTCCTCCATCGGAAACTTAGCAAACCGCTTCCAGTCGTCAAGCACGTTCCTCAGGTCGTGCACTTTCGTCTGCAACCCGACGCAGCAGTTGGCGTGCATTGTGATTGCGACGTTGAGGTCTTTAACCGGCTGGCAGAAGCCGCCGAAGTAGGCCGTGTCGAGGAACTTGATCTGCAGGGCGTCGAGGAAAGGGTCGAACTTGATCTCGTTGAACACGTCCTGGTCGTGTTTTCCAGGGAACCTGTCCCTGGAGTTGTACCAGTACTTGTAGAAGTGGAGGGTCCGGTGGTTGGATCTGGCGTAGACGAAGCCGCCGTTGGGGATGTTGTGGCGGTCGGAGGCGCTGCCGAGGTAGGTGTCGCAGGCGATCTGGAAGTCGGCGTCTTGGTGGAACTGCGGGAATGGGGTTCGGAACCACAGTATGTCCGCATCCTGCATGCATTCATGCGTGCAGGCGGTGAGGATTCTTGGGATTTTCCAGCTGTAGCTTTCATACGGTTTTGGTATCGGTTCGATCAAAGCGATTTCACCCATATTGTGGACAACTAATTAAAGTGATCTATGTACATCGCGGCCACAACACATGCGATCTAGCTGTAAAATTTCGACGAACTCCAACGATTTGCACCTTACATACGTCAAATCTTCAAGTTATAACTTCGCGCTTGAAATGTTATTCGGAATAAAAAAAGTAAATTCACTTCAATCGGATAACCGAGCGTAAAGTTACGTTCATTTGAATTTTGATGTATGTTAGATGAAAATCGTTGGACATAATAGCAAACCACGGAAGTTGGATCGTGCCTATCGGTGGCCGCGATTTACTCAAATCGCTTTAGTTGGCTATGATCTAGGGTAGATTGCTTGAATCAGTCTTCAACGAACCGGTACCAAAATTGCTGGACATTCCAGCAAACCAACCCCAAAGTTGTGTATTTTGGGAAATGTAAGCATAAATGTGGTATTGTGAGAATTTTGTTAGCAATCATGTTCGGGTGATGGAGTTGAGAAAAATCGGTAAGGCTTTGACTCCCATCCTTGACTTATATTTAATTCCGCGTTTCATTCAAATTTCTGACTCTTGCTAAAAAAAATCCGAATTCTTGCGTCTAATCAATGTAACGAAATATTAATGGTCAACGAACAAAGTATGAGAGAATGGATGCGTTAAGGAGCATATTACCGTGAAAACGAAGTCGTAGCCGAGGCGTAAAACAGAGGCCATGAAGTCGATGCGACGCCACATCATGAGCAGGTACTCGTCCGTCATAAAGAAGGCATCTCCGGTGAAGTTGACGCCCGGAGTCGCCAGTGCATAACAGTGTCGGTGTATCGCCCGGCAACGTTGATGGGCCTTCCGGTCCAACGAAACGATCACCAAATTGTCCATCAGTTGTTGTGTTCCATTCCCGGCCCTAAAGCTCTCCAGAAACAGGTCCAAGATCGACCCTGGCTCGGCCCATGCCGAGTTTAACGTCGTCAGGATCACCGTTTTCGACGGTATCGATGATCCCCTGCTTGTTGTTAGGGTACTTGCTCGCCGCAGGACTTTGCTGAGCTCATGATCGTCGTCACTTGGCGTGTCGCCGATCTGCCAAGCTTAATATTTTTATAAGTCGCTAAAATACAATAAACATTATGCTTGTATATTTTACTTAACAATTGTAGAAGGTTATTATGAAAGTTTTATCTAATGAATATTAACCTTGCTTACTTTACGTAGTAAAGTGTTTAATCATTATCAAAAACTCATATAACGGTTTTGATTAAATTGTTAGTTTAGAATAATTATATGGCTATATAACGTAACCTTACCATAATGGATGTATATTTTATGCAATTATTACATAAAATGTAATAGACGGTACTTTTATGTAATTGAATATTAAAAGGCAACATAGCGGCGGCCGGCGGGGGGAGGAGAAAGAAAGGTAAGGAACTCACCGCCGGCGATGAAAGGATCCCAACGGAGTAAGGGGCGGAAGGGTAGATGGAGTCGTGGAGGACAAGGAAGCACAAGGCGACCCAGAAGCAAACCGCGGCTGACATTTTAACCTTACTTAGCCTTCGGACCAGAAATACGCCTTCGCCGCCTGGGGAAGAGAAAGAAGACTTTGAGTCGTTGCTGGTGCGTCTCAAGGTTTCCCTGACGTGATGATGTTCACCATTATCGCTGCCCGGAATCTCGTCGGTCGGCGTTGTCATCATTTCTGCCATTTTAATTTTAACTCCAGGAGGAAAAGCTGATGTTCAGGTTATTATATATATATATGGTGCCTTCTACTGTACTCCGGGTAAAGTCTGGGATACCGTATAGCTTGAGTATGGAAACGGTATCTAGACCTCGAATTAGCAGGATTTTTGGGTCTGATACTATACCCTAACCCTTAATGAGTGAACTCTGGGTCCTAATTATCTAAATCATAATCTATAAACCCTAAGATGGTGCATTCCTTTTTGTGCCTATATTTGGACGAATCATAACCGTCGATTATTGTTTCTAATTAAATTGATCTTGGAGTATAAGATTAGGAGAATTAAGACCTAGATTTTGATCTTTAAGGGTTAGAGTATAGTATCATGTCCGAAAGATCGATCAATTCAAGGTCTAAATAGTGTTTTCATACTCAAGGTATGCGGTACCCCGAATTTTGTCCAGGGTACCGTAGAACTCGCCATATATATATATCACCTGTATGTATGTATAAACTGGCTGGCTGGTCAGCCGTCCACTTCACTTCCGATCGAGTGGAACAGCCGTCTCCGGCAGGCAACCTCGGCGTCGGGGGATGTATGCAGTGCAGTTGGAGTGTTTCCGTTCACGACGCTAGCTCTGCGATTTCGACGTAGGAGGACGATTAGTGATAGTCTGATGGTGGATATGATGCCGTGGAGTCATTGTCTAATGGAGGTAGTTGAGTTGAGCTTTTACACAATTATCTGAGTACGTAAAACTGCAACTACCCTAACCCTAGCTAGCTAGGTTTGATGAAAGCTGAAGATCAAGTGATCACATGGATGCATGACTGACGTTGTGAGAGTGACCCGGAAGTTGGGTCGGTAGCGATGATAATGGATCTATCTGGTAGTAGTGAGTACACGATTTTCGATTCTCATATTTGTTTTTAACTTAAATAAATGTTTTTTAATATATATTACTGCAAATATGACAATTTGAAAATTATTAACACAAAAATGGTATAACTCAATTTTTGAACGCGCACGCAGACAAAACATGCTGAAAATAAACAACTTCACGTGGGCTTCCCAGTTGGCTCAGTTGCAAGACGTTTGTGCGCTTATTACTAACCCTATGTAATCATAGGTGATTTCAACACTATTCTTCACGTGGGTGAAAAAGGTGGGGGGCGGGCTTGGAATGGTTCCCAATCCACCAGTCTCCGAGATTTTGTTCATGATTTGGGCCTCCATGACCCGGGTTTCCAAGGGGATCAATTCACTTGGACTAATAAACGTATGGGTGCAGCGTGTATTCGTGAGCGTCTGGATAGAGCTCTTTGCTCCCAGTCCTGGACTGATACCTATCCGGAGACTCTGGTCAAGCACTTTACGGACCAGGGGTCGGATCATAGGGCCTTGCTGCTTGCCGATAAACCGTATGCTCGGAGTAGTCGGCCTCTGTTCCGTTTTGATGCCCGCTGGGCGGATAATCCTAAAGTGAGGGCTATGGTCCAGTATGTCTGGCAGGAGGAGATCCAAGGTACCCCCTATGTTTCGACTGTGGGAGCGCCTAAAAAGTCTTCGTCGTCTGCTCTATGATTGGAGCAGGACGGGCACAACTAATTCCATGTGCAATATCAAGACGCTCCAAGTTGAGAATGATAGGATTAAGTTGATCCATCCAGTGGATTGGGATATGATCAGGACCCTGGAAACGGAGCTCTCTCGCCAGTGGGAAGCGAAGGAAGTGTACTGGCAGCAAAAGTCCAGGGTTAAATGGTTAAAAAAAGGAGATCAAAATTCTGCCTACTTCCATACGGTCACAAGGACTCGGCGGAAAAGGAACTTTGTTTCCGGGCTTCGAAATGAGGAGGGTGAATGGGTAACTAAGGAAACGGGGAAGGCTACTATTGCCACCAATTTTTACCAGACCCTGTTTACCTCGGAAACTCAGGTTCCTAATATGACTGAGAGGGTGGCGAATCTGCCGATTGCGCATAGTGTTACTCCGCAAATGAATGCGCAATTGACGGCAGAGGTTTTACCTAGTGAGGTTCGGAGTACAGTATTTTCTATGGGATCGAAGCAGGCCCCGGGATCGGATGGCTTAACAGGGAAGTTCTTTAAAGTTTTCTGGGATATTGTGGGCACCTCGGTGGTTGAAGCAGTTATTTCCTTCTTTGCCTCGAGTCGGATGCTGCGGAGTTTTAATCATACCTGGCTTACTTTGATCCCCAAAGTGGACTCGGTGGAAACAATTAGACAATTGCGTCCGATTAGCCTCTGTCAGTTTGTTTACAAGGTGATTACCAAAATCATAGCTGAACGGCTGGCTAGCATGCTCCCTTAGATCATTTCAGAGGGCCAGAATGGTTTTATCAGAGACAAGCAGATTATTGATAACATCCTTATAGGACATGAGCTAATGCATTATCTAAAAATAAAAAAGCAAGGGAAGAAGGGGTACATGGCTGTGAAGGTTGACATGGAAAAGGCCTATGATAGAGTCGAATGGCCCTTCCTTCTTGCATTTTTAGATAAAATGAGTTTTAACTCTGTCTGGCAAGGATGGATACATGAATGTCTTCGATCCTCCTCTTTCTTGGTTCTGATGAATGGTACACCCTCGGGTTATTTCACTGCCTCTAGGGGCCTTCGCCAGGGGGATCCACTCTCTCCTCTCTTGTTTGTGCTATGCACGGAGGGATTTGCAGCCCTCCTCCGAAAGGCGATCTCAGAGAAAAAATTAGAGGGGGTGAAAGTGGCTCCTCAGGCTCCAAGAGTCTCTCATTTGTTCTTCGCGGATGATTCTTACTTATTCTTGCACGGCTCGCTCCAGGAGTGCGAGAATTTAATTGAGGCGCTGAATGAATATGAGGAGCTGAGTGGCCAACGCGTGAACTTGGAGAAATCGGCGGTGTGCTTTAGGAAGAAAATTTCCACGCCAGATCAGGAGTTCTTGGCCACGATCCTTGGGGTTGGTGCAATGGGGGTCCATGATAAATATCTAGGGCTGCCCACGCTGGTTGCTCGTTCCAAAATGGCTACGTTCAGGTATTTGGAGGAGAAACTCCTTGAGCGTCTTCAGGGGTGGAAGCAACGGACATTGTCATGGGTTGCGAAGGAAACATTGATTAAATCCATAGCGTTGGCTCTTCCACTTCATGTTATGTCATGTTTCCGTCTTCCCCTAGCTCTGTGTCGTCTATTAGATAGACATGTGGCATGGTTTTGGTGGGGAGCCGCGGAGGGTAATCCCAAGATTAGATGGGTGTCCTGGCAAACATGTGCAGGAGTAAGCATGATGGGGGGATGAGATTCCGCTAGTTTGAGCATTTCAACCAAGCTCTGTTGGCTAAGATAGGCTGGCGTATTCTCAATGAACCTCAATCCCTCCTTGCCCAGGTTTACAAAGGCAAGTATTTCCCTCAAGGGTCTTTCCTGACCGCGACTGCTAGGTCACGTCCCTCTTGGGGGTGGCAGAGTATCCTTCATGGGCGTCAGCGGTTGGAGATGGGTTTAAGATGACAGGTCGGTAATGGCCTATCGGCCTCCCTCCTTCATTCTAACTGGATTCCTGGATACCAACTTGCCTGAAGGGGGTGATCTCTTGGTGGCGGAGATTATCTGTGAGGGAGGGGGAAGGTGGTCTGATGAGAAGCTTAGTCAATGGTTTGACCCACATACATGTAGGGATATTAAAGCTATTCCGCTTCCGAGATGGGATGTACCTGATAAGCTTATCTGGCATTACATGGCTAATGGGGTTTTCTCGGTTAAGTCGGCTTACCATTTGGCAGTAGATTTGGACAGGAGAAGGAGTGGGTGGCGATCCTCGGTTGGTTGGATGGATAAGCCGAGTTGGATTAGAGTGTGGGAAACGAAGATCCCTCCGAAGTTAAAGGTCTTTGTCTGGCAAATTCTTAATCGGGCCCTTCCGACTACGGAGGTGCTTATTGAGAAAAAGGTCTCCGTGTTACCATGGTGTCCAGTTTGTTGGGATGGCCCGGAGAAGATGGAACACATGTTCCTTTATTGTCCGGTTGTGCGGGCTCTCTGAGACTATTCAGGGTTGGATTACTTGGGAGAGGGTTTGCCTCGGCACACTTTTCCTTTATTCCTCAAATGTCTGTTGGCGCTGATTCATCAACCGTCTTTGGTTATGGTTGTTGTTGCCATCCTTTGGAAGATCTGGTAATTGGGTAGTCTTTGAAGGCAAACAGTTTGGGATCCCGACGCTAATGAGACAATTTTACCAACAGTATGAGGAATGGGTGGGCTTGCCAACAGATCAGGCTCCTAGGGTGCCGATCCCGATGGTGCAACCTACAGCGCAGGTGGGTGATCCTCATTTGGTTTGCATGTGGGACGGGGATACTAAGGGTGGGTCGCATTCGGCTGGTGGGATGGTTCTTTTAAGCCCAGCGCGGACTCTCCTTCTGGCTAGAGGGATTCAGTTTCCTCAAATGGATGAGCCTGCAGTGGTGGAATTACTTGTGCTCAGGGAAGCTATTATTTGGTGTGTGGAGCAAGGCTTGTCAGAGGTCCGGTTTGAGGGCAATGCGAAAGTGGTAATTGACAAAATTAATCAAGCTGATACAAGAGATAGCCGGTTGGGTGCTGTTCTGGAAGAGATTGGTCATTATTTTCGTACTCAGCCTGGCTTTAGTGTGCGTTTTGTAGGTCGGGAGAACAATAGGGTAGCTCATTTGGTAGCTAGGAAAGCCCTCTCTTTGTATCCGACTATGAGTCGCTTCTTTGATTTCCAGGCCTGGCTGGTTTCCAGGGTGTAACTATCTATTTTTTTGGATCAATACATGATATCTTTTCACACAAAAAAACCATTTAAAAGGTAAAACTCAAAATTAAGTTGAAAATGACCAACATCACGCATTCAACGCGCACAATTTACGTGCATTTTGTGAGTGAAAAATAAAAAATATGGTATTGATTTATTGAGTTAAACTATTTAGATGCTAGCACAATTTGGGTATAATGTTTTTAGTGGTAAATGCTTTCAACCAATAGTTCCAAGTCGGGTGACATAACAACAATTTACGATAATATAGTCTAATAGATAAGGAATTGCGATGACATTTAGTATAGCACATTGGAACCACTTTCCTATTTTTTTACCAATGCCTGACCACTTTTCAGCCGTTGTGAATAATATAAACAAAAAATTATGCATATTCAAGCATATTTAAAACACAATTCTAATTAAAAAAAAAATTCTTATTTTTACCCACAAAATAAGTGAAGTTATGTATTGCAATGTAATTTTGATTTTATGCTCTGAATGCGTGAGGTTACGCATTTTCATCATAATTTTTTTTTCTCTCATTTATGCGCGCATTTTGGGTTACTATGTCTATATACTAAAAACAATATCTGGTAAATCGTCCGAAAGGGAGACAAGGAGAAGAAACATAAGGATAAGGAGAAACCTGGATAATAATAAAAAAGTAAGATTGAGCCTTAACATTCCACCGGAGCTCCAAGTACATAAATAAAAAAAGGAAGAGGGCACAACTTGCTAAAAGGAAGGAGTGATTAACTGCAAAAAGAAGACCACAAGTTGGAATCCGAAGAAGGAAGCAAAATATTGAGAAATGACAATCTCATTTCTCAATATATGCTCCCGTCTTTAGACTTAGTCTTGGGGCCTTCTATGCAACTCTCTCCTTTCTTTCAGTCCCACTGCTCTCTTCTTCTTCTTCTTATTTTACTTTTTTGCAACTGGAGCTCCAGTTGAACATTGTGGCCCAATCTTTTTCTTCTTTCTTTTTCAGATCCATTCTTCTCCTTGTCCTTATATTTCTTCTCCCTGCCCTTCGTGTCCTTTTCACCAATAGAGGCATTCTACTTATCGAAAAGCAAGAAAGATTTAGAGTTAATACTTTCGTATGACCTGAACTTTGACCAAAATAAACATCCTGGTCAATCTTTTCGATCTATAACATCCTGGCCCGAACTATACACCTAAATAAACAATTTGGCCAGATTCGACTTTTGACCGTTAACTTGGACGGTCAAACGCGTTGACCGTTAGTCAACGCGCCATGTCACTGCCAAGTCAGCATAAAATATTCAAAATAATTCACAATTTCCACACATTCCCTAATTTTAAATTATTATAAATTTAAAAAAATCATCTAATACCTTAGTTAAACGGAAAAAATTAAATATTTATCAGATCTTCTGAGTGACGTGGCAGTGACGTGGCTCTGACCGTTAGTCAACTCGTTTGACCGTCCAAGTTAACGGTCAAACATCGTGTTTGGCCAAATTGTTTATTTTGGTGTATAGTTCGGGCCAGGATGTTATAGATCGAAAAGATTGGTCATGATGTTTATTTTGGTCAAAGTTCAGGCCATACGAAAATATCAACCCAAAGATTTATACAAGAAGTGATCATGAGAGAGTGAGACTAACTAGAGCCATGTTGAATTTTTTAACATCTACAATCATAAAGGTTTCATTTAGTATTTAGTATGGGACCTGAAATCCCAAGGGCTGACCAAAATTGTATGGTGAAGAAGCAATGACAAATTATTTGGTATGAATTTTAGATGGTTTGTTTAAGAATGAATTATCAAAATCTCAATGTAGTTACATGTTGCAGCCTCACCATGGAAAAAATGATTTGGTCTAGATATTAGATTTTGATAAAAACGTTTATCAAAATCTCAATGTAGTCAATTTGTACAAGTATTTTTTTTTTAGTGGCAAGTTTACGTAACAGATAATAAGAACAGAAAGGGTTAAAAGGATTTCCCATCAATCAATATAAATTATAAAAATCTCAATGTAGTTACATGTTGTAGCTGACCATGGAAAAAAAAAATGATCTGGTCGAGATTTTCGATGTTATTTAAGAATGAATTTATCAAAATCTCAATGTAGTCAATTTCTACAAGTATATTTTCTTTGTGCCAAGTTAACCTAAAATCTAAAATCGATTGCGGTGAATTCATGTGAAAAATATAAAAGAAGAAGGGGCTAAAAGGATTCCCCATGAATCAATTTAAATTCAACTGTCATTTCCATGGTCGTTTTACTTTACACTTCAAAATGACAAGTTGACAACCAATTGAGGTAATCAAGAAAACTATATAACTCCTGCGAACTATTCTATATGGCAAGTCATCATCATACACCTGTGCTCTAAAATCCCTCTCGAATTGAAATGCCACTGTTCATCGTCAAACCCTGTCAATAATAAACACCAAGTGCCAAATCAGTATTCTTCAAAACAAAAAAGGCACCAAAATTCGGAATACAATCTCAATCAACATCTGAAACCATGCACTCTTTATAGATGGATCGGATAATCGATAATGTAATAAAGACAAAATAGAATGAAAGAAAACAACATACAGATTTATTGTGGTTCACTAACATAGCGTGTGTTAGTTCACGTGTAGTTAAAAGTCAGTTTCATTATATTTGACTAAATTATAGATTACTCATTAACTTGATAGATAATCCGATTCAAATCGTCAACACAAATGCTACGTACCTGCACCTCTGGGGAGCTCGCCAAGTAAACGAAGCCGACCCTCTGGAGTCAGCAGGCAGCGACATATAATGTTTCCAGTCCCCAAGCACGACGTTGAGGTCGTGGATCTTGTGGCCCAGCCCGACGCAGCAGTTGGCGTGCATGGTGCAGGCCCAGTTGAGGTTCCGGGCCGGCTCGCAGAACCCGCCGAAGTAGGCCGTGTCCAGGAACCGGACTTTCAGCCCGATGTCGTCGAGGAACGGGTCGAACTTGATCTTGTTCAGCACGTCCTGGTCGTGCATCCCCGGGAAACTCTGTCTCGCGTGGTACCAGAACCGGTAGAACTGGAGGGTCCGCACGTTGGACCGCACGAAGGTGAAGCCGCCGTTGGGGTGGTTGCGGCGGTCGGTGGAGGATCCGCCGCCACGGCGGCCGGTGTACTGGTCGCACGCGATCTGGAAGTCGGCGTCTTTGTAGAAGTGCGGGAATGGGTTCCGAAACCACATTATGTCTGCATCCTATACACCCGTGTATAAATGCAAGTTAGACAACTTCTAGTAGACTTTAAAGGATTGATTTCAAGATACAAATCGAACTTGTACCGTAATGTTAAAAAGTGCAAGTATAGTTTGTACCATATAATAAAAATTCGAATTCAATTTATACTATAAATTTGTACACAAAGTATAGATATAAACAGAATTTGTTCCATGACGTTAAATACAAAATTTCAATTTATACCATCCATTTCCTTTAGTAAACCTAAGTATCAACGCTATAAAGCATTATAAAATTCATCTAAAGTCATTATGATGTAACAAAAAACAATTAATTACTCCAATACACCCTAATTTTTTTGTATTGATGATTTAGGTTTGATTTTTTCAATTAGTTGTTGATTAATAGATTCAAAACATAAACAAAAATCAATTGTATTACCACTAGACCAAACCGCGTTATTCACATAATCCCTAAATTTTTTTATAAGGGAGAAACTCTAATTTTAAAGAGATATCACATGGGATTCATTTGTTCCACGAACTTTAGATTCTTCATAAAAGATAAGATTTAACTCGGATCACCATAGTTATCGACTCAATTATAATTGTATTTGGTTCGAGACACATAGTTGGACACTTGTACCCTTGAGGTTTCATAGATGATAATGAAGAAAAGGAAAAGGATGATAGGTATTTACCGTGAAAACGAAGTCGTATCCGAGGCGTAAAACAGAGGCTAGGAAGTCGATACGGCGCCACATCATGAGCAAGTACTCGTTCGTCATGAAGTATGCCTCTCCGGTGAAATTGACGCCTGGGGTCGTCAAAGCATAGCAATGTGGGTGTATGGCTTGGCAACGCTGGTGGGCCTTCTGGTCCAGTGAAATGATCACCAAATTGTCGACCAAATCCTGCGTCCCGTTACCGGCCCTAAAGCTCTCCAGAAACAGGTCCAGGATCGAACCCGGCTCGGCCCATGCTGAGTTTAACGTCGTCAGGATCACGGTCCTTGATGGTAACGATGACGTTGGCCCTCCGGTCGTCCTCGTTGCGTTCTTGAGCACTCTCATCAACTCTGGGTCGCTGCTTTCCTGTTGTGTATCCACGCGAAAACATATACACAAACAAATCCCAAGTCATGACCATTAAACAATGTTGGAATAAAAATTAGACCACCACTTGAAAGCAACAAATTGGACTGAATCATAGTGTTTCTGTATATGCATGTATCATTTCATGGAGAGAAAAAAAAAGGTTATTATGCAAGTGTGTTCAACAGTTTGATTTTGTTGACATTAAGAAAAATAGAAGGGATTATTAGTATCAAGATTTGAACCCATAAGAAGAAAGTTAATTTGTTCAAATTTCAAAAATTAGAAGAGATCAATCAAGTACCGAGTCATTTTGTAAAAAAAAAAAAAAGAGAGAACTAATTCATTAAAAAAAGTATTTGCGACATGTTTCCTTAATTCTTTGTAACTATCAATCTCCCCCACCCCCTATTTTTGTATAATCATCAAAATGTTGGTAAGGGCAAAATTTGTTAAGGAATGACACCAACGAATTCATCCACGTAAAAAAGTAGCACCATATATGCAACACGTTTTCCTGATTCTTTATAACAATTAAGGTTCAAGAAGGTGTTAGGTATAAAGTGAGCGTTTCGGCCTTGTTAAGTAGGGGGTGGAGTTTCGGTTTGTTTGGTTATAATCGGTAATCGATCGATCGGTTATCGGTTAATCGAACTACCGGCCCCCCTTATCGACAACCGACCGAAATAGGGATTTAGGCTTCGGTTATTTCGGTTTTCGGTTAATCGAACCACCTCCAAGACCAATACCATCTCGGCCAGCCTCCGAACACCGACCGAATTTCAATTATCTCAGTTATCGGTTAGTGGATAATCGACCGATTATCGGTTTAACCGGCCTGTTAACCGGTAACCGTAATTCCACCCCTATTGTTTAGTGCCTATCATGCTTAGATTTTGATTAAGCATGTCTAATCGCTGAATGCAATAATTATACTACATAATGAATGAAATGATAATTTACAACCCTTCCACTTTGATTTCCACATGATATCAATCATCAAATGATATGGCTAATTCTAACTGATTATCGTTTAATTAATTTGAGCTCACAAATTTGCCTTCGCAGATAATAAGCCGGCTTTTTTTCTTAACCGGTTGTTTCTCTGTTTGTCGCTACGTTTCTGTTTGATTCTTAATTTAAGTCTGTCGTTGTACAGTTGTACAACTCTTCTTCAGCCCCATCTTTCCTTGCTTTGTTCTATGCCTGGGAACAACCCCCTCTTCTCTTTCTTCTAATTGAATTTTCATAATCCACTAAAAAGAAATCGTGTCCTAGCTTCCTAGTTGATAATAAAATAGTTCATATATATATATATATATATATATATAAAGGTGAAGTAGTTACTTATTTAATTAATGAACCAGCTCCGGATGCAACGAACAACCTCGTGGGTGCCTGGGTGGCCAAAATTCATGTTGGGGCCTTCTATGTGTGAACTGTGTTAGTTGGTTACTTCTTCTTTCCATTTAGTTTATAAAAATGAGTACTTTATCATTTAGCTTTACATTTCTCTTTTAGTTTAATAATTAAGCTGTTAATATATATATAGATATATATATATAGATATATGATTTGTTCAAATTCTAATTTATCATAATATTCAACAACTAGCTAGTAGCTACACAAATAATGTGTCCTATAGCTTCCAAAAACAACAATAGATGAACCACATACAACATATTTAGTTTGATATAAAATGGTGTTGATTTAACCCGACGCAATAAATTATCAGCAACGGAAAAAAGTAGAAGGGATTAAATATTTAAGTTAGTCCATTCCTTTTGTTTTTAAAAAGGAAATTACTAGTCTTTCCCGGGAAATCTTTGGCAAGTGGCAACTACACATTTGCATGGAGGAATGAGAAAAATCAAAACCCAGGGGAAAACAAGAAAAATTTACTCTCCGACTCCGACTCCGACTCATCCATTCACCTTTTCCCATCATAAATTTAATTTTCCTTTTCAATAAATTTTAATGACCCCAAGTAAAAAAAAAAGTTCAATTTTCAAATCTCATACGTTATGAACGTCTTTTTCCCCAGGCTTATTACTAATTAATGACGCTCCAAAGGTGAAAATAAACAAAATTTGGCAGAGAATAGACTGGTCCATTCGGCTTTCCATTAAGACTATATTCCAAAACGGAAGAGAAAAAATTTATTGTTATACCAAAAAATAATTAAAGAAACACGAGGGAGAGCAAAGAAGAGGATTAATTAATATTCCCGTTGGCCGAAAACGGGGTTTAGATATTTACGGAAAAAGCAAAACAAACTGTTTATGCACGGAGAATAACACAAGAAAGGATTGGAGCGATTAATCCCGAGAAAGAGGGAAAAAGGGGATTTTAATTTCGATTTTAGATATGAACGGAGAACGGATCAGGCGGTATCGCGATTGATACACGGAGAATAATATGGCGTCGTTTCGACAGTGCCGCAGCAGCTAGCCACATTGTTTAATAAAAAAACAATCTCAAACGGAAGCAGAGACGACAGGATTTGGCAGAGAGCACGATGATCAATTCAATCAAACAGTGATTTTCACGATTTTGGTAAATTACAAGCAATCAATCAATCGAGGTAAAAGTCGGGGAACTTACTGGGACTGGAGAAGTGATTTCCGGCCGATTGGCCGCGGCCTGGAGCGAGCTGCTGCCGCGAGAGATTGAAAACAAGTAGCCGGGGAACAGGAGGCCGCCAGCCGACGAGTAGAGGGACCGGTAGAGGACGAGGCAGCAGACGGCGATTCCGAGGAAGACGGCCGCCGAGATTTCCAGGCTCCGCCGTCGGAGGACGAAATTGCGGCTTCCTCCGCCGCTAGGATAGGAATTCTGTGAAATCTTGTTGTTGTTGCTGACGACGCTTATCACGTGATTGCCATTGTTGCCGTGAAGCTGATCCCCTGGCGCCGTCGTCGTCGAAACAGCCATGATGACGAATCTTCTGAATTCTGGCTTTTACCTTGTGTGACTTTTTTTGAAATTTGTTACTGGAAGCTGAATTGACCGGCCGCCATGGAAAAGGATATTTGTATGTGATTAATCAATCCGCGAATTAGGGACGGAGAAGCTACTTCGTCTCTTCGTCTTCTCCGGGAGGGAAAAGGGGAGAAGACGGAAGAAGAGAGTGCGAGGTTTAGGAAGAGAATAAGACTAGAGATGAGGAGGAGAAAGGCGACCTAAAAGACTAATCGTGTTTAATTTATATTTAAGTACGCAATCCACGTCATCGGTAATGGATTTAATATATGTATTGTTTTTATTTTTCCTGTTTGGCTTCGTTACTCTTTTTCTTCCTTCTCTTCTCTGTATTTCAGAAAGGCTAACAATGAATAAACTCAATTAGGAAAATCCACTCTGTATTGTCAGCAGGTTCTTTGACTCATTTCTTTTCTTTGTCCCATCCAACCGCGGCTAGTCCACTCCTCAAATTGGGAGATTGTGTTACTAAATTCAACTTCATCTTATAGTGCAAGATAATTAAGGATTACTAATTACAACAAATTTTTAAAATTCAACTCACTATTAATCATATTCATTTCTATAACAACGATAAAAATATTTGCAAACAATATTACAATATATAGATTTGTTAAATTTATGCAAGGTGGTTGAGATACTAAAGCTTACTCAGAATGTGCTCTCTAGTACAAGTTTAGTAAGAGCATCTCCATTTGAATTAAATTTAGAATTGCATTGTGGCATAACATTCATTTGCAATTGCATTGATGAAGATGACAATTGCATCTTTGCAAGCTTGCATATAATGCAATTATGGTATGCAAGCCACATCATCTTTTTTATTATTAAATTATTCATTAATTTTATTATTTGAGTGTTTATGTTTTAATAAATTAAATTAAAAAAATTAGTTGCAATTGCAAGTTAATGGCATTGATGTGGTCCAATGCAAGTAAGATGAGTTGGATTGCAAAAAATTAAGTAACAATAAAAAAAATAAATGCAATTGCAAATGCAATTACACCAATGGAGATGCTCTAAGTAGGATAGGAAAAGGGAAGAAAACACTCACAACGAACCAATATTTCATCTATTGTTGTTTCTTGCCAACAAATATATTTCACATTTCTAGGAATCACATATTAAAAACCGAAGAGTACAAATTTTAGTGAAAGTCTGAAATCAAAATATATATCATACAACACGGTGCATTGAAATGGTTTAACGGGATGCAAAGACGAATCATCATGTCCATTTTATCAAAATTTTCTAACTGTCACTTCAACTAATTTTTATAAAAATTTGCCAAAAAACTTCATTGGATTATTCTTCTCATTGTCCAGCTTGACCAATTAGGCCAGTATCGAGTAAAATTATCTTGTTACGGCTCTCCAAGGATCCAATATTTTTCCCTTGTAATTTAATTGTTGTTTTCATTAGCAGATGAATGAAGTCACAAAACACCTCTAATTGTAATTTAACGATTAGAGATGTGGATAGCAATATATTCTTCCAAGGCAGCATTGATTGAATATCCCCACAGGATGCCAGTCCCGAGCCCATCTTTTTTTTTTTTTTTGGCACCATTGCTATGTTGCATTCAAGTATGATATTGCTTATAACTTGTAAGGTTGGAACTTTGTATCCCAATTTCCACATACAACAACAAAACACAACAAGAATAAGAGAAATAGTAAAGGCCGATGTGCGTCAAAATCATCGCTGCCTTTGATAGCAAAAAAATTCCAAGGGCAAGCATATGTCAAGGAATGGAACCGTCAGTAAAACGGATTGGTACCACAAAACAAAAACAAAAAACATAGTAAAAATAAACCAACTTCTTGTAATTTGAGGGAAGATGTAGAGAAAGAAAGCAGCAATGTTGGTTGTGATGGAATCTTTTTTTGACGATATTAGTTATCTTCTTTTTTCTTTGGTAGAAATTATCTTCTTAACAGATGGCGAGATTTCAATTATTATAATTTAGGAGAGGTGAAGAGGAAATTAAAGTATTGGCGTTATATATGTGGGGCATTGGTGCCCAATCACACAAGTGATTATTCGGATGTGTGTGGATTTCATCGGTCTCAACAAAGTATGTCATATGGATGTTTTCCGTTATCGAGAATTGACTAACTTGTGGATGCTACAATTAATCATGAAACTTTCAATTTTTTAACATGTACATGTTGGGATACCACCAAGCTGTTTGTTTTAAGAACATTGAGAAAAAAATCACCTTTATAATGCTCTTTGGAAAGTACTGTTACTAAGTCATACGAATTTGTATCTTATCAGTTTCGGTTTAAAATGAACCAATAACAAAACCCAAAATATTAGGTGAGAGGTGCATGGGATTTTTGTTTCTCTTGCAAACGAGCCGAGTCGAGTTTTTGCTTAGATTGAGCTCGGCTCGTTTATCAATTTTTTAGCTCGAGCTCGGCTTGAACTCGACTTTTGATCATCCAGCTCGAGCTCGACTCGATTAAAAATAATCCAGCTCGAGCTCGGTAAATGCTCATTAACACAACCTGTCAAGCTGAGTACAAGTTCGGCTCAAGACAAACTCGATTTGAAACCATTCTTGCTGAAAAATGTGTACAAATAAGAATATTAGAAATTAAAAATGATAAAAAGAACACTAGAAACTAAAAATAGCATCTAACTTTCATACACATCCTTATTAACAAGATAATTTTCATGTTCAAAAGAGTAATTAATCCTTCTCCAAACTTTAAACAAGCCAGCCCGCGAGCTTAGCTCAACAAGTCACCGAGTCAAGCTAGCTCACGAGCTTATCAAGCCGAGCATGGCCTAGCTCATGTTTGGCTCGTTTACTAACGAGTCGGCTAGCGAGCTGGCTTGTTAAACAACGAGCCGAGTGTCGAACGAGTTTTTTCCGATTCGAACGCCAAGTTGCTCGCGAGCGGCTTGTCTCATTTAATTTGCAGCCCTTAACTGGTCCGATTTCAGTTTTGGGGAAAACAACTTAGTTTGTTGTTTTAATGATTTTGGTTAACCGAACAAATCGAACCAACAAACCTAATCCTTGACTCCAAGTTTGAGAAATATTTACTCCCTATCCATTGCTTAAATAACAACAGGATGACAAAATGGCTCATAATTTGGGGTATTGTCCAAACCTAATTTATAATGGTTTTGGGGCATACCCATAACCAAACTTTTAGTTTGGATCTAAATTAGATCATTATATTGGATACCCAATTGCAATGTGACACTTACCTTTTCTTTGTTATAAAACAAACATTTAATACTGACATTTGTCGATAATACTTTTTCGTGTATATAATTATATAAACCCAAATAATTTCAAATAAACTCGCTTGGCTTGGACCCAATAAGGATCAAATCCAACCCCAAAATTATTAAGAATACATGAGTAGGGATGAAAATGAGTTGGGTTGGGGGCGAGTTTTGCCAAACCCAAACCCATGGGTTTATCCTCCAAAAAATCTGGGGTAAAACCCGCTGGGTTTGAAAAAACTCAAACCAACCCAACCCGATGGGTACCCGTGGATTTTTGTGGTAAAAAATTTACAATAACAAGTTTCTTCTGAATAAAAGTCTAACATCAATTTTCTCATAAAAATTATCCATACAAAAAAACACCAATCTAGACTCTAGAGCATACAAGCAAACCGCAAATTATCAATACAAATTGTTCAAAATTAAAGATAAACATCTATAAACAACATGATTAATTGACAGCTCCTTCCTCCTTGTCAACTAAACTTCTTCACTCTCCACTCCATAATATCAACTTCATCGAACACAATTAGAAAGAACAAATTAGACATGCCTCCGCAAACATAAAGAAGATTAGTTGTTTAAGAAAGATATATTATTTAGAATATTAAATATACCAAAAAAATTAATTATATGAGTGTGGGCGGGTACTGTGACGGCCTTACTTTTGGTCGTGCGGCCCTAGCTCTCAATTCTGTTAGAGATGCTAGGAAACCTTCTTACAAGCTCTCAAACTCACTCAACTCACAAGAAGAAGACACAAGAAGATGGGAGAAACTCTATAGTTGTATTGCTCACAAAAATGATGAATGAGTTACAAGTGAGGGAGATGGCTCCTTAGACCACCCACAGCGTGGGTTGGTTTTGTGGGAAAAAGGGGAATTGTGACCACAATGTGGGAGGGAATAGGGAATTACATGGGTTTTGTGGGTGGGAAAACCCACCAGATGAGACAAATGGTGGGGGGAAGTGGCGGATGGGAAAAGACAGCCCTTTGTTTTTTTTTCTTTCTGATTTTAGCAAAAGCTTGTTTGGAAAGTTGTGTTTTTGTCACCAACGGACAGATTCAACCAACAACCATATTTTGCAACGGTCACTTTTTAACGGCCATATTTTTCAACGGCCATTTTTCCAACGACTATATTTTTTCCTTCTCTATAAATATAACTCATTCTTCACTTTCTGTCAACACTTCTCACATTCTCTTCCTACCATCCAAATCAAAAATTCTCTTCTTCCCAAACTCTTTCTAATCATGGCTTCTTCCGGTAGCAATCGCAATCCGAATTACACAACACCCGAAGACCTTGGTTTATGCAAGGCTTGGATGGAGGTTTCGCAAGATCCTATAATCGGGCATTATCAATCTTCACCGGCTTTTTGGACGAGAATCCAAGAGCTACATTCTGCAAATTGTTTTACCATCATCCGTACCGAGAATCGTGAGTCATGGTCATCTAGTATTATTGTGATTTTGTCATTGTTGATGTCATACTTAATTAGTGATGAAAAAAATATTTCCAAATTAAAAAAAAATTATATCGAAATGTTCGTATTAATTAATTATCACTAAGTACGTAATAATAATGATCATTATATGAAAATAAATTGACAAAATCAACTATAAATTGATTTTAACAAAATAGTACTAAACTGATTATCCACTTTCCCACCACCACACTGTGACCAAACCAACCAATTTT